ATAATGTCAGTTTCAGAGCATTTTATGTTTGAATCAGAGATAATTTTTACAAAGTACGATTTATCCAACCCTAGTTGGTCATTATTTTTCAAGAAACAGAGCAGGACCAACTCTTTCAATTTGTCTTTTAGTTTGGAATGGGGAATACTTGTGTAAATACTTGTAGAAAGTGTGGAACTTTTTAGTATCCATATCTGATTCACGCCACCTCTCGAATAGGTAGTTTCCGGCTTTGATTGCTGATAAAATTGATGTCAATAATTCAGAAAGAGGTTTCGTGGAGCACTTGGAAGACCCATCAATATAACCATGTTTGTAAGAACACTTATGTTATTTAGGTATCCAATACAACCTATTTTTCCTTATTAAATCTCCCATAAATATGACAATTATTTTCAATTTCATGTTGTTAAACCGACAAATTATAACAACACAATAATTACAGCTTCAATTATAATATATGCAACGAATACTCTTAATCATAATTTCAAACCGTCATACCGTCATTCCGTCATAGAAAGTCAATGGAAAGTCAAACTTTTAAAATAGAAGTTATTTTAATCTTAAATATTATGAGTTTGAATGTCCCTTTTGTATCTTTCGCCTCTCTTTTATCATAGTATTGTATTCTCTCTCGATAAGCTGAATTAAAACAATTTCAGCATTTTTATAGTTTGAAGGATTTTCTCTTCTCTTAATTCTTACAAAGTGATCAGTAATGTTTCACTGGTGAAAACGAAATTCATATCAATTTCTGGAATCTATTTATTTGAGCTTTGCCTAGTTTATAATGTAGCGTATCCTGTCGACGCACCAGGTATCACTCCTTTTTGGAGTTTATTGGATCCCCTCGGTGTTTGCTTGTTACCTTAATTTGTATCTTCTACATAGATTTATGAGATTTGAACATCGGTATACTACTGTTGCCTAAATCTATAAAATATTTAGGAGGTATTTTATGTATTGTTTTGTTTCTTTTAATCGCATAGCCTTGTTTAGTTGATTGTTAGCTTGCGTGTTAAAGAGGTACAAATTAGATTCTGAATTAATGAGAAATCATTAAGGAGTTGAACGCCTACTGATCAAGTCCAGTACTTTGTTATACTAATAAACAACTTTGTTACTTTCAGTGAAAACCAGTGTTGTCATAGCATTGATCTCAGTAACTGTAACACAAAATATAAAGATCGGTTACTAGTACTAAATCTTTTTCAGTGCATCAAAGTGCCAACCCTTTTGTTCTAGTTATTATTTACCTAAGGTATATGTCTTTAGATACGATAAACCCTTTACTTTCCTCGCAGTTACTAGTTTTTTTATATACAAATAGATTCCAATTTATCCATGAACTTGTTACTGCAAAACATATTGCAATAGTTTCCTCTTTTCAATAAAACCTTTTCCGATAGATATTTCGATGCTATAAAAGACTTTATCTTTACCTTTTCTTACAAAACTCTATCATTTGCTATGTTTGCAATGTTGTTATGACGTTTTCTAAATATCAATGGAATATCTTCAGAATAGAAGTCAACAGTATAGTTTTGTTTTCAAGTGTAATGCAGAGATAATAAGACTTTGTTATATAAATTGTTTAGATAGCTCCTTGTATCTATGGTGAGTTTATGTTAATGTCATGAACATTTTAAAGGAGTTTCAAATCGCTCTCAGAATAAACAGTCTACCCCCACCACCATCACCACCACCATCACCACCAACGCCACCACCAGAGCACACGTGTTCTTCTCAAAAGAACAAACTATAACAATCAGTTGAAAAAGGCTTGACTCATCTAATCGACTCAAATCACAAAAAATCCAACTAAAAAAAAGACTTGAGATACAGAGTACCGATCTGAGAGAGTCACAGTTCCAGACTAAAATATCAATCAGTACACATCCAGTTATTTAGTGCAACGACGTCATACACAGCCAGAGACAAACATTCACTCGTCCAATGACAATATATAAGTATCAAAAGAGTTCTGCATTAATTTATTAATAACAAAATTAATGTTTGTACCGATAAAAAAGAATATTCACAAATCATATCACAGTGTTCAATTGATAACCTTTTGAATAAGTTTATTCAAAGGATCAATAACTTTACACGGATTCTATCTAGATCTACAGTCTCTATAAACAACATCACAGTAAAAATTAGGATGTGATACTCCGTGCCTCCAAAACGCTTTTTCTGGATTTCCCCATCATCATGAACGTTCAAACCAAACATTTGGAAGCCAGGGATGCGCAAATATGCTGCAACATTTGGAGCGATATGGAAAAGTCAAATTCATCTAAGGTCAACTGTGATTAGATTAAAGAAGGCTTCTTTTGAGTTGTAGCAAATAAATGTGCACTCAGATTTTTCAAACAACCATTTCATAAAGCAGGAAAAACTTTGTTTGATAAAATTGTGTGGAACTGTAGTATGGTGGTTTGGCTATTTTTAGGGGTTTTTTTTTTTTTTTTGTCATATAGCTCTTCAATTGTTTCGGTTCTTATACATTCTCGGTTTTCAAATATTCGGCTTTGAGCGTTCCTGATGAAGGTAAATCCAGAAAAGTGCTTCGGACGCATGATATATTTTAACGTGTTGTTTTCATTTTTTGGTGAGCCGTAAAAGCAAATCTGTCAACCGAATTAAAAGGACAATCAAACGTTTACATTGTCAAATTATGGCAATCAAGCAAAGTCTTCTGACATGGTTGATTATTTCTTTGCACGTTTACTATCAAGAATATTTTTTAAAGTCAAATATCTAACTTTCAAAGTGTTATAATTGGTTGTATGCCTCCTAGTCATATAGAATATATGACTAGTCAACGTTAACCATAGATTAGTTTGGCTATTCTGATTACCTCCATAAAATAAGATTGTTATGAATCAGGCCGTTAGTTTTCTCAATAGAATTGTTTCATATCTTTCATGTCGGGCCTTTTATAGCCGACTATACGGTATGGGTTTTTCCATTGTTGAAGGCCGTACGGTTGCCTATAATTGATAACATCCACTTCATTTGAACTTTGGTGGATAGTTGTCTCATTGGCAATCATACCACATCTCCTTATTTTTACATCTTCAAGATTGATTGGCAACATATTTTAACGTTTAGAGGATGTGTTTTTCGATAAACAATCGGAATTCCAATGGAAACCAAACGTTCTCCTCTTCTTGACGACTTGTTCCTTTGTTCATATGAGGCTGACTTCATACAGGAGCTATATATATATATATATATATACAGCTTTATCCTTTATTTCACTTTCCGATATAAAGATGATGTCCTCTCACTAAATATTCAAAGAATCTGATTGGGTTCCATTGATATATCCTCAAGAAATAGAAATTAAAGTGACAACAAACACGGCTTCGTCCGCTTCATTTTTAGACTTATACCTCGAATTTGACATGAGCGGTCATCTCAGTACCAGAATCTATGACAAAAAAGACGATTTTAATTTTGAAATTATAAATTTCCCCCACCTTAGCAGCAATATACCAACTTCACCTGCATATGGGATATACATTTCAAAACTTATTCGGTATTCAAGAGCTTGCAGCTGCTACTCAGACTTGATAAAACGTCACCAGTGTGCAGAAAGATGATGAACCTGGGTTATATCAAAGAACGTCTCGTTCTTTTTCTAAACAAAGTTCATCAGAAGATATACCAAGACCTAGTTGATAAATATTCCGTATCAATACATAATAATACATGATGGTCTGAAAGTATAGATTATGGGTACTGATTTTGTTTATTATATTAATAACGTGTGATCGTGTTCTTTTTTTTTTTTGTATTTGTATATATGTTTAACCTTTACTGTTTAGTCCATGTTTAGAAATATCCTTTTGACGTGACTCGGTATTAATACATCCCACCATTGTGTTGTTGTGCTATGGACATGTTTTGTATTCTTGTCTTTCATTTTTGCTTATGTAATTTGTCTATAGAGTATCTACATGCCATTTTGTTTTTCTTGGTTGACATAGTTGTTTGATTTATAGTGATTAAGATTATAACACAATGGTTACTGCTGTACCCCAATTTTTGATATTTTTAGCTTTTATGTCTGTTGAATTTGCTCACCCATTGTTGTCAATATAATGAAATTATATGCGACAGTCATACAAGTGAGAGGTTTAGCTAGCTATAAAACCAGGTTTCGTCCTCCATTGTCTACATAAGGAAATGCCTGTACCACGTCAGGAATATAACAGTTGGTTTTCATTTGTTTCATGTGTTTGGCCTTTCGACTTTGCCATTTGATAAGGTACTTTCCGTTTTGAATTTTCCTTGGAGTTCGGTATTTTTGTTATTCTACTTTTTAAAAATTTGCATCAAAAATTGTGTAGACAATGAAACACTTGGGGTCATCTCAGGTGCTCCGGAGGCGTAAGCAGATTCTGTTGTAAATATACATGTGTCTGTAAAGGCTCACAAGAAATATCCTAGTTTTGTCAATAATTTTAATAACATCACTATAGAAAATGTTTAAACTTCACAAAGAACGAAAGGAAACTGTATAATTTAACTGTTAGGTTAAAAACAAAACGTCAAATTTTGAGTAAAAAGGAAAATTCGATATGATCTTTTGGATGGACTTCTTATATTTAAGGGTTCACTGACGACAAACAGCAGCAGGCGATGGACCATTAATTTACAAAAAAAAAGTTTTTCTTCCATAACTTAGATGAACCTCGACAAAGGCTTCTCGGAATCCCCTTGTGTTTGAATCAATTAAAAAATTACTATCCGGTGCAGATATCGAAAGGGCAAGCTGTTACTGTTCTAAAATGACATCCATTGTGTTGGTGTCTTGTGATTTCCTATGAATTTGAACGACAATTAAATTTTCCCTTCTGCATTATTGCAGCTATTCGGATTTGTCGATATTGTTATGTTTGGAGTATTGAACACTTCAAATAGACGGGGATAAAATGATGGAGAAACCTCGGGAATGCAATACAACACAATGCAATACACAAGAAAAGTCAATCAACAAATATATATTAAATATAAATTAATTTATCTACAGCACGAAAATTTCATACAATGGAAACAGCGTGGTCCCGAATAAGAAATCACTTATGGTATTTTTGGAGCGTAAACATATGTACAAACTCAGTGCATTCTTAATTAACAGAAAACAAATTACACCGGTATTAAGGCTGTATTTAATGTTGTGGTTTTTTTTCCTCGAGTGTCTATGTTGCCCCATCATTTTCCTCCCGAGTCTGTGTTGTCCGTATCACTTCCTTTTCCACTTATAGTATTATTTGTTTGATAAATTCTACTGTCTTTATCCAGAACTGATGTATCGGAATTCACATTGCTGTTTGGATCCCTATTTTCAATGACACCATTGATAGAATGGGGAAGATTGTTTTCTACATTGTATGACTGCGAATTATCACGCCTGCGTAATGTTATATTATACATAACATATGGATACGGTTCGGGACAGCATGCGTACAGCTGTACGGCTTTATATGCTGTGGAATTCACATATTCCCATTCAGGATGTTCAATATAATCTTCAATGTCAACAAAGTCTGAGGATAGCTGAATGTCCAGTGCCTTACCATGATATGACCAAGAACCAAATCGCATTAGGCAAAATATGACAGTGTTATCGATTTCGCTCCCTTCACAATTAGTAGTTATGGTAGTAGGAGGATACCAGGACAGGGAACCACTGTTGAAGATGTAAACGCGCGGATTGTAAGCATTACCAGCGTGTGATGAAGGGCTGAAACAATAATTGGTTTACTTTTATATTACAGTATTATCAAAACAAAGCAAATGTCTACCATAGTCGTTGGTTTTTTTTCTTTTGTGTGTACAGTTTATGATGTTTGCGGGTCCAAAACTATTCATCTAATGTTAAACTGGAAATTATAGAAGACAGTTGATTAGTTTTTCATTGCAGCAAACATATACCAGATGTGAAATGTATATTTCCTAAGGTGACTATTTGCGATTAACGATTTTATATTTGTTGTGCACTACTGAATGTATAAGAGCACATTTCTCCGAATATGTGTTGAAGGGGGAGATTCCTTGACTAATGTGTCCACATTATAAAGTCCACTGTAAGCGAATCCGGAAGGATGTACAATTAAAGTAGGATTGTTCAGAGGCTAAATAAAATAATCCTTAAATGATTGTACAAGATTTTTTAACCATGGCTCATTTTGATATTGGTTTTCCTTGAATTTGACAAAATTATTTAAAGTGAAATCGTAGCTTATTTAAGTAACAAATTGAAATCCCCTCTATTATATATGAAAATATGTCCGTACAAAGCAACAAGAGACTCTCAAGAGCCTGTATCGCTCACCTGTAATTTTTTGCTTAAATCTTTCATCAATAATTATTTTTGCTTTTCAATATATATTAATGAGTGGCTTAAAAGTGCCATTGAAATGTTCTTTGTATCTGTCATATTTTCTTCAAAAGCAAAAAAATGCAATTTACCCCTATGTTCCATTTTAGCCATAGTAGCTATGTTTTTTGTACAAAGAAATAAAATTCAAAATTTATACTAGATACTCTGAAACTCGTTCAGCCCAAGTTTGGCTGAAATTGATTCAGCAGTTTCAAAGGAGAAACTAGATGAACAAATTGTGAAAAATTGTCTTTAAAGGGCAAAACCTCCTTAAGAGGTCAATTGGTCATATAAACGTATTTGTAGATCTTACTTTGCTGAATATTTTTGCTGTTTAAAGTTTATCTTTATCTATAATAATATTCAAGAAAATAACCAAAAACGGCAAAATTTCCTTAAAATTGCAAATTTAGTGGCAGCAACCCAACAATGGGTTGTTAGATTCATCTGAAAATTTCAGGGCTGATAGAACTTGACCTAATGAACATTTTAACCCATGTAAGATTTGCTCTAAATGCTTTAGTTTTTGAGATATAAGCCAAAAACTGAATTTTACCCCGTATGTTCTATTTTTAGCCATGGCAGCAATGTTTTATGACGAAACAGAAAATAAAACTCAAACTTTATTCTAAATACCATAAGTATCATTCAGCTTAAGTTTGGTTGGAATTGGTTTAGTAGTTTTAGAGGAGAAGATGTTTGAAATAGTTTACACCGGACGGACGACGACGGACGCCAAGTGATGGTAAAAGCTCACATTTCCTTTGAAAAGTTGAGCTTAATATGATATGATAGTAAAAACATAAAAACTGTAGAAATTAATTGGTAACATACCTGTTGTAAAGAACGATATCTGGCGTCCACAATAAGTCTGACGGGAGAGTAAGTGCATCAAGGTCATAGAAGTCTAATGACCAAGCCAGACGAAGATCTGTCCAGGCTATAGGAAGCCATGTCATTGCTTTTAATGTTTTACCATCCTACACCAAAAACATGATAAAATTCTTAATAATTTCTATAAATATTATAGTTTTCAGACATCTGTCTGTGGTTGAATGTTGAAGTTACTGAAAATCCAAAATATAGATAATTTGTCTCTATAGATATAAAAATAAGGAGATGGGGTATGATTGCCAATGGGACAACTATCCACCAAAGTGAAAATGAAGTGGATGTAAGCAAACAACCTTCAACAATAAGAACAACACATACCGTATAGTCGGCTATAAAAGGCCCCAACATTAAAAATATGAAACAATTTAATTATAGAAAACTAACGGCCTCATTTATAACAAAACAATTTACGAAAAACAAATATGACAGACATGAATCAACGAAACCACTGAACTAAAAGCTCCAGACCAGTGATAGGCACATATAGAATGTGGCTGGGTATAACATGTTTGAAGGCCCCAACACTCCCCTTAACCTGGGACAGTGGTGTTACAGTAAAACATAAGAACAAACTATCAAAATCAGTTAAAAAGGGCTTAACTTATCAGATCGATACAAACAGAAAAATATCTAACACTCTCACACTCTGTTTGAAATAGGAATTTTGTTGGATAAGTTGACACTTTTCGTATATTAACGAAAACATGAGAACGACAAAAGGGGAACTATCTTAGTGACTTTCTTTTAAGATCATAAACTCATGCAATTATGCAACGAACTTCAGAGTATATTTTAACTAGCGCGTCTTATTTTACAAAATATCCTTAATTCGTCTGAATAGATGTAGGCAACAGTAGTTCAACAATGTTAAAATCTCATAATGCTATAAGAAAATTTTAAAAGGTAACAAACAAAAGGAGCGAGACCGAATGCGTCGACATGATACACTTTTCCATATTCTTCAATTATAATCAAAATTATCAATGTGTACTTTCACTGTTGGGTCGTTGCCCTTATTCCTATCTACAAATTCACACTTACACATTCCTCTATTTTAATCAAGTTCACTCCATGTGTTACTTCAACCGTTGGATGTTCAATCGTTGCTGGTCTGGCTAGCTTGTTATAATTGTATAAAATTTCATCTAATATTTCTTCTTCAATTATGTCTGGTCTACCTGTATAAAGACAAAATAATCCAGATGAATATTTGTTTTTGATTTCAACGTTGTTTATCTACAAAGGGATAAAAGGAATTACTAAATATGTTTAGTTGTGTAATGTATTATCAACTCTACTATGTGGGGTCGCTGTGTCGTGAGTTCTTCAAATTATGTGTTTACAGTACTCTCTGGAGCGGACTAGTTTTCGAGATAAAACATATATTTTTTTTCTCGTAAATCAATATGGAAGAGACAAATTAAGGCAACAAACACAAACTAGGGGAATTGCGTGAAATCCAACTGGATGAGTCAACAGGGTAAGCATCTCCTCATGCATACATTACTGGCCATACGATTTCCCACTTAAACAAAATGGCACAATCGGGAATGGGAAACAATCGGTAAATTTACAGATCAGATGACTATACTGGTATCTAAAGATCTAAGACCGCAAAAACATGTCGCTCGTGTGTTGAGACACGAACACATCGTATCGGTCAACCAATTCGTGTCGATTTTGGTCTTTGTATCTCGTAACTCTGTTGGAGAAGTTTTTGTGTAATGAGCACACCTCTGCCAATGAAGTCCAACAGAATGAGTGTACAGGGTAAGCGTCTCCTGCTTTGTATGCATCACCCGCCATACGAACTTCAACTTAGTCAAAATGTCGGGAATGGGACACAATCTGTAAAAATGGTTCTCTATTTCATAAAATATATTTCTGATGCATTTAACTATTTCTTGAAAGCAATGTTCATGTAACTAGTTCTTGTAAGCAATGTTCATATAACTAGTTCTTGAAAGCAGTGTTCATTTAACTAGTTCTTGAAAGCAATGTTCATGTAACTAGTTCTTCAAATAAGTGTCCATATAACTAGTTCTTCAAATAAGTCTCTAGTGGTTGAAAGCGCTAATCTTGAACACAATAATAATTAGTTATTTGAAGTATAATAATTGACGATGTAATTTATTGTTGAACTCATTCATCATAGAACTAGCAATTAAAATCAATAATCACTTTCATATTTATTGTTTGTAGTTATCACAAAATTAGTACTTGAGAGCGTTAATCATTAAGTAGATTTCGAACATATAGTACTTTAAAGCATTAAGAACACAAGTATTATCTAAACTCGTTTATCACATAATTACTTATTGAAAGCAACAACATCTTAGTTGGTGTGATGTCGTAATACTCGTTCTATTAACCTATGCTCTTTTCATGTACAAAATTGGCTGTTGAATCCTGATTACCATATGTTACAGTATACTCTCTTGACATCGAATAACTTTTTAATTTGAATGGAATGACGTAAAGCATGAAATGTTTCTCATTAATACCTATAACCATTTACATTGAGTTTCACCTTGTTTCATGGAATTCTCAAAGTGCCCATATTGATAAGGTTTGTTACATTTCCCACAACGTCAGATAACAGTTTGTCAGTAGAAGTTAATGTGCTATCTGATACATAGGTGTCCCTTTAATGGCGTAAATCCACTTAAGGAGAACAAATGAACTCTTCAACTCTTAATATGATATGTATGCTGTTATGCAATTTAAAAGAAAACATATTCCTTATAGCCAATATATAAACTTAAAAGCTGACGATAAAACTTGTGATCTTCAAATTTATAAAAAAAAAAACGATCCATTGTAACTTCGTTCTAAAGCTAAACGCTTAAATCGTCAGATATAGAGAAAGTAGCATGAGATTATACACTGGTTAGTTAATGCATCGATGTATGCATAAAAAGTTATAAAGTTAACAGGAACCATTTAAGATTGATAGCTTGGTTGATGTTTACTTAAAGTCACGTGGAAATATTTCATGGATATTTGGAGCGAACCAGTTTACAGAAACATGGACTACAAATAAATATATTATGAGGATTGCCATTTTTATCAAAAATATAAAATTTGCATGATTAAAACCGTATGTACGTTATCATGATTCAGTATAGCTTAAGATCAATTTAGTCGTTTTTGAACAGAAAAACTAAAATGTTTAAATCAAAACAAACCAAGCCCGACAAAGTATTTGTAGTTTAACATAATGTAAATACTCTTTTTACTTCAAACGAGAAACTTTGAAACTGGTGATTGACCTTAATTTGATGAAGCAAGATTTGGTTTAGGCATTTAAGTTCTTAAAATTTTCTAAAGAGAACGGTATATTGTCAAGATATCATTTATTGATGAAAAAGCGTACTCTTTATACAAAGCCAGCGGAATAAAAAGTGTGCACTTTCTTTTGAAAAAATATCTTACGAAGGCATCTTAACACATACCATGGATAACTCAGTAAAATAGAAAAAAGAAGAAATGTGTAACCAAAAACCACAAGTCGAATAAACACTGGAACCACCATGATCAAAATGAAAACCTACAAGAAAAAAAAACTGTCCAAAAACATTGCACAGAAAATTAAAATTGAGCGAAACGAGCCCTACCAAAATTCGAAGTCAAACTCATGTGCCCTGGAAGTCATAACGGATCCTGCTCCACTATTAACATCCGCAAAGTCGGAAAGTAGATGGTATGATATCAAATTTTGATTAATAATTTTATGCACAACAATTACTAATATTTAAAATTAATCTCAAAACTTACCATGAACAACAAGAAATAAATAAATCCCAAACATAAATTTTGTAAGGAAATCCATACTTTTAGCTGCCATTAAAACTTCAGAGCAAAAGAACAAATTGAACTACAGAGAATAGTAATCAGTAGCGTATTTTATAACCCCGGGATCATCAGGCCACTTGAAATGTATCAGGTGATGTAGAATCTACTTAATTAAAGTACATCGTATAACTTGTTATTTCTGGTTTGTTTTAATTTAATTTACGAACAAACTGACCGAAATTATAATGTGAAACACCAAATACTGAAACACATGTAATCGTTTATAGAACTTATTACTATATACAAACACAAATGCACGTATCTAGATACACAAGGGCATGCAGCTGTTCACATCTGTTCTCTGATAGGAGAGTTCGTACCAACGTAGAACTGATAGATCGAAACTGATCAACAAAACATTGCTTTCGATGCATTTTTATTGATTTATATTTGTCAAGAATATTTGGGTTGCTTTAAAAATATAGATTTGCCAAAGATATAAAATTGGTAAAACAAAATCTTTAAAATTAGCAAGTCCATTTAAAGTTCACTTACCTGTGGGGTTAACAACAAAACATATGGTTGTAAACCTTTATAGAGTTATAAGTAACGGCTTTATTAAAATATCAGCGATAAAAATTGGTTGATGACGAAAAATTTACCACTGGGGAGGAGTGTTTTATGAATAAACATTGATATCGACTCAGTTCTAGTATATTTTTTTTTATCAAAATAAGTCTTTTTCCGTTTAACTTTCATTTCTAAAAAGAACTATTGTTCGGATGATGGATGAGTAAAGTAATAGTTCACTAGTGTTAGTATCGACCCACTTGTAGTAAGTACAACGTGCAGATTTCATTGCCGTCAATGCCAAACTTTTTTTTACAAAAGACAATAAAATTAGAATTAGCCAATAGAACGCAAATAAACCAAATGATTAATGATTCTAGTCAAACGGTCTATGATTTTTGCACAGATATTTATTGGATTGTAATTAAGAAACTGAAAACTTAACACTACAGTAGCGTTTGTTTAAACCAAATCTATCAAAATCTCATTCCAAACTTGTGAAAATGCGTATTTGTACACTTAAGATTGGTTAAAAAATGTGTAATATATTTGCAGTAATCAATTTCATCCGTTTGCCTTTCCGTGACGTCCATCCGTGTGTAACCTTTATTTTATAACCAATTACACTTTATTTATCTTCAAAATAGTTCGAAGTAAAAAATAAGAAAAAAATTCATCAACGTGTTAGTTGTTAAAAACACTGACCTAAATTACCGTTACATAATAACAAATAGACGATACGGACTCAAAACAGAAATTAAGAAATCGACATAAAAATATATATATAATTGAAATAAAGCGAGGCAATACATGGAGCTAAAAAGAGATATGCTTCTGCATCGACACACAACCACACAACAAAAAACATAAAAATATTGATTGGAATTCAAATAAATATCGCGGATTTCATTTGTTTTTGAAAGGTAAACATATCCAGCATGACAGTGCCCATAGTTATCTCCAGTTTACTTCAGCAAAATCAATTTATAGGGAAAACGAAAATACAACTTTGATTTTGAATTTAGAAAAAGCTTAATTATTAAGAATTCTAAGTAATCAACATACCAAAACCGATGAAGAGAACGGCGGTCCAGAGGTGGTTACCTATCATCATTGATTATCAATATTCTGAGAACCCACACAAAAACAATGTTTTATACGGAATGAAGTATCTTACCATGCATGTATCAGGTGATACCGGCCCAAATTAGAAGAACTTATAAGGTTTAACTAGTTAAGTCTGGTTTCAAATAAAAACAATATCAAAGGAAATTGAGCCTCAAGTACATGTTATTGAAGTAAATGACTGACTTGCATATATACAATGAAAATGTATATGTGTATATGATTCCTTTAATCAAATCGTTTTAGCTCCTTCGTGTTTTGTCTCTTTTTTTGTAAGGAACATGGTAAATTGTAGCTTGCATTTCAATGTGTGATAAAGGTCTAAAGTTTAATTTGCATTTCACATCTCTGGATTTAATAGCGTCGAAAAATTAGTTTGGCTTGTTCGGTTTGGCGCCTTACACTGATTTGCTTTATCCTGCAATAATTGATTGATTATTGGTTGCTTAACGTCCAGTGACAAACATTTCATGAATGTTCAGGACGAGTATCTTTAATTTATGTATTTTGTTTTCCTGTATTCATTCTATATGGTCATTTTAACCTTTAACCTATAACCTTCATATATTCAGATTATTCGCCACTTCCACTGCTGAGATTTTATTCAATTCAGGTAAAGCTTAGTACAAAGCTTTTTCAGTGATATTATTTATGTTTTTTTTATGTTTTGTAAATATTCTTTTTGTTGTGAACTTGCTATCTTATTGACGTATGTACTATTTTTTTTCTTCCAATCTGAAGTTTTTCTTACTTCTTCATATTCTGTGAGGTATTTTCCTACATCTGAAACTTTCGGAACCAAATACCTTGTCACTCGAAGGTGTATTACCCTACATCTGGGACGTTCGGAATCACTACATCTTGAATATCGGAATCACTACATCTTGAATATCGGAATCACTACATCTGGAACGTTTGAAATAACAGATCTTGTAACCCAAAGGTGTATTAACACTTTTCAAGTTTAAATCACTGGAACCTATTAAACAGGAATAGCTTATACTGAGGGCCGCATTGCCTTACGAACTTTTTTTAATATTAGGCTCTGTAAATTTCAAATTAGCCATTAGAACGTTATAGATAAAAAGGATAACAGGAATTACTAAATATGTTGCACAGATAATAGACCACACCAAACACCATCTACAAAATCCTCCGAAAATAGATATAGCATCAACGACAACCAAAACGCAAACACATGGTACAGATCCAATTGCCATTGGAGAAACAATAATTACTGTATGATTGACACCTTAGGGGAGTAAATCTCCATCAGAAGTGATATCAAACAAGTAATCAGTGTGGAATGACCCCTTTTGGAATATCTTGTAACCAGTACTAAACTGTGGGGTTGACAGATTTCGGAAGTAACTTTCATCAGAGGTGGTATTAAGCTGGTAGTGAATTGTGAGAATGACAACTTTTTGGGTAACTTTTCACCAGAGGTGATATCAAACCAGTAGTGAATAGTAATGTAATGACACCTTTGGGGAACACTTTCCAACTGAAATGTTATGAAACCAGATACGAACTGTGTGGATGACACTTTTGGGGTAGCTCTTCTGAAACGATATCAAACCAGTAATGTACTATGTGATTAAAATCTTTGAAGAACAACTTTTCATCAAAAGTTATTTCAAACCAGAAATACACTGTGTGGATGCCACCTTTTGTGATTAAATTTTCACGAGAAGTAATATAAGTAATATCAAATTAGTGATGAACTTTGAGGATGACAGATTTTGAAGGGCACCTTTTCATGAGAAATGATATCAAACTAGTACTGAACTGTGTGAATGAAATCTATAGTACCGTTTCTTCCGAAGATATATCAAACCAGTAATGAACAGTGTCGATGACACCTTTGGGGAGTATCATTTCACAAGAAGTGATACCAAACCAGTTATGAACATATAGACTACATCTTTTAGGAGTTCTTTTCATCAGAAGTGATATGAAACCGATAATGAAGTGTGTGAAGGACACCTTTGGGGATTAATTTTTCCTAAGGCGAGATATCAAACCAGTAATTAATTGTGTGGATCTCACCTGGGGGAATAATTTTCATTCAGGAGTGATATTAAACTAGTATAAAGGAGTAACTTTTTACAAGAGGTATAAAAAACACGTGATAGGGAGTTACTTTTCACCGGAAGGGATACCAAATCAGTGTTGGGGAGTTACTTCTCATCAGAAAGAATATCAAACCAGTGATGATGAGTTATCCTTCACCAAAAAGGATATCAAATCAGTGAAAGGTAGTTATTTTTCATCAGAAGGAATATCAAACCAGTGATGAGGAATTATTTTTCACCAGAAAGGATATCAAACTACTAAAGGGGAATTACTTTATACCAGCATGAATATCAAACCACTGACTGTTAGTTTCTTTTTAACAGCCGGTATATCAAATCAGTCATTTGTCTTTTCTTTTCAATGTAATGGATATCAAACCATTTAACGAAGTTACTTTTCACAAGAAGTGATTTCAAAGCAGTCAGTGAAGTTACTTTTCACAAGAAGTGATATCAAACCAGATAGTAGGAGTAACTTTTCAAGTAAAGGAATCTCAAATTAGTGATAGGGAGTAAATGTTCACCAAATGTGATATCAAACCAGTAATAAGGAGTTTCTTTTCACCAGAAGTTATATTAAACCAATCATGTGGAGTTACTTTCACCAGTAAGGATATCAAACGACTGACGATGAGTTACTTTTCAACGCAAATGATTTCAAACAAGTGATAGTGAGTAACTTTTCACCAGAGGGGTATGAAACCAGTGACGTGGAGTTACTTTTTACCAGAATGGATATGAAATCAGTGATGGGGATTACTTTTCATCAGAAGGGATCGAAACCGGTGATAGGGAGTTACTTTCAGCAGAAGGGATATGAAACTAGTAATGGCGAGTTACTTTTCAACAGAAGGGATATAAAATCACTGACGGGGAATTAATTTTCACCAGAAGAGATATCTGACTGGTGAGAGAAAGTTACTCTTTAACATAATGGATATCAAACCAGCGATGTGGAGTTACTTTTCAACAGAAAGAATATAAAACCACTGACGGGGAATTACTTTTCACCAAATGGGATATCAACCCAGTGATAAAAATATATCTTTCGCCAAATGAGATATCAAACCACTGACGGGGAATTGATTTTCACCAGAAGAGACATTACACCAGTGATAAAAAGATATCACTTACCAAAACAGATATCAAACCACTGACGGGAAGTTACTTTTCAACAGACGGGATATCTAACCAGTGATAGAAAGTTACTTTTCACCAGAAGGGACACCAAACTAGGGATAGGGAGTTACTTTACACCAGAAGGGACACCAAACTAGGGATAGGGAGTTACTTTACACCAGAAGGGACACCAAACTAGAGATATGGAGTTACTTTTCACCGGAAGGGACACCAAACTAGGGATAGGGAGTTACTTTACACCGGAAGGGACACCAAACTAGGGATAGGGAGATAC